TTTCAGTATGGGACACCCTCAAAATTTGTAAAAGAAGGGCCCAAAATAGTTGATTAAATAATATAGCTTATTACATGATTGTGTCTTTGACAGTCTGTAACTGTGCAACAAGGAAGCTTATTATCATTGCATAAATTATGAAAACTGGACAAAGCTGACAAAAGAGGTTTCATTGTCATTGATATTATTACCTTTAATTAAAACAAATTTCAAAAACTGTTTCAAATTCAACCTTTTATACTAATTACTTACATGACATGTTTGGGTGTAGTAAGCTGCCACATTCTTGTACCAAATGACAAACCCACCAAAATTAGCCAGACAAAGTTTAATTCAATATTCATGATGAAAGGCTGTGACGCTTCTTCTTCTCTGGGCTCTTTCTGTTCTGACTTTTCCTCTAAATATTTCAAATCTTTTTCCTGTTTGAAACATAATGTGAAGGCATATGTTGAATATCAAAGATCACTTTTTCATTGAGAACATACTGTAGTTAGAATCATTTAAATGTATTGAGCAAGTCAAAAATTAGCACATTTCCTTCATAAACTAAAAAAAAATCTGTGGCATTCAGGTTTCCTATTTCTTTGGACAGAAACCTGGGGTTGTTCTGCTATTTCTTCAAATGTGTTTTTGTTGTACACCAGATATTGCATTTGTCATGTTTTACGCCAAAAAGAAGAAGGAGTTTCATGTCCTAAGGCTGTGTAAAAACTACTAAATGCAGATGTTTATAGCTTGTACATGCACTCCCAAGAAGGCAACATGTTCTATTAAGTCTTACAGATATTTGATCGCCTTATGGTTATAATCTATAGGACAAATAGATAAATTACATGATTTACAATAATTTATAAAAGGTCACTTTGAAGATGCTATACTTTCCCAATTTAATATTCTTCCCACCAAATAATTATATGTTGTAGATCAAAATGGACTCCAGGTTGAAATGGCATCAAACTAGGTTGATTTGTATTTGCTTAAAAGATGTTAAGATAATTTATCTACAGAGTGAAACAAAGTGAAATAATTTACTTATTAAATAGGTGTAAAACCATTATGGCTTAAATTCATTCTATACTACATCATACTCAGGCAGTCTACTTTCGTCTATTTTACAAACCAGCCAAGTTCCCCAACATCCACTAAATTTGATTCTTGTATATACATATCCTTGATTTATCCAAAAAAGAAATTGGCAGGTTCCAAGCATTATTGAAGGTATTCAGACAGCTTCTAAAATTGCATTTGCTTGGAAAAGATGTTTGCATGACTTCTGAAGGTTTCTGAACCCTTCACACCCTAATATCAATATGTATATTCTCCATACTGTTCTCAATATATTTCTTAAGGTGCTGACAAGGAGAATCTGTTTGACAATCAAGAACTTCCCTGGGCAGTGATAATTTCCTTTATTCTTATGACCTTATGTGTGATTTGGGGGTGAAATTGTGAGAAGAAATTAAAGGCAAGTCACTCTTAGAGGCTTAATAGTATACATAGAAAAATTACTCAGTTCTGATTGGTTAAGATAAATGCAGTTTTCAGGTGATTCAGTGCAGAAGAGAGTTAATTCAGTGCAAAGAAAGTAACAAATCAGACATTCTGATTGGTCAATAATCAAAGAAACTCACACGTAGCCAATCAAATGCGTGCTTTGGATGTCACAACAAAATTTGAAAATTTGTGAGCGAAACAATGGCCAGTGTTCTAAGTTGGTTTTCTTTCGCTACCGCAGCTGAAAAACAGCTCAAACAACAAAAACACTGTAAAAAGCACTGCTTTTTGGTTGTCGGTTTGGAAAAAGTGGTGTTTAGAGAAGGGAATTGCCAAGGAAATCAAAAATTAAGAGCCAACTCAGCTTAACATTTTGCTCAAGCGATCCAATGCTGAAATTAAAAACAAACATGGTTAAACCTTGGAAATGACAATTCCATTTCATAGAAAGTGATTCCTTGAACTGTTTAGCTGGACTTTGAACTTTTTTTGCACCTTAAAGATGTGAAGATATCATTGTATATTATTGTTTTGATCATACGTGGTTATTTTGACCTAATGCATGGTTTGAATAAATTATTTTGCACTTGATGTGTGTGCTTTGCTTCTGCTTAATTATGATACGCCATTTCATATTTTTCCATGTATATTATTAACATGTAATCACATGATTTTTCTCGTGCAATTTGGAATAAACAAGCACTTGTTAATTTATTCAAAGACCACAAATTGCACTCACCCTACAGGCTCGTGCAATTTTGTTAGTCTTTAAAAAAATTTACTCATGCTTATTTATTCCAAATTGTACTCGAAATCATGTGATTACCTATACAAAGAGTTAATTAATGTGGTCCTAGAATGCACCTATCCTGAGTTCTGTATTGCTAAGATAATGTGCTAGGACCTTGTAAAAGGTTGTTGTTCAGCCCTGGTTGTTCAAAGGTTCAATAAATCTCTCTCTGGTGGATAGCACAGTATATTTGCTAATCTTTATTCCCTGAAGAGCAATTTATCTGTTGGACAGTGTCTCTTCCCTTCCCTTTTATATAACTGGTCCCAGGTCTTTCAGCACAGTTTACTATACTATTTTGGGTGAAAATCATATTCAGCTTATTCACTTTAATGATTACTGAACAAGTACTTCAAAATTGGACATGGGAAATTGTCTCATTTCATATACAAGATGACATCACTTTTGATCACAAGTGCAACAAGTATAATGCAAGTAATTAAGTTGGCAGGTACTTGATCATTTAAAACAAAAAAGTTCACATTGCTGTAGTTCTTTTTAGTTCAGATTGCAGATATCTCACTTCATTGACCCTTAAACTCCCAAGATCTCATCAGTAATTCTCCTTACTGTCTACCAAACAGTTTTTGTGGTGTTAGTTTGTAGAATTTGTCATTGGATCAACTTATAATCTCCTAATTGATATTTTTCTTTATTCTCATCACTTGTCAGCTTGATATTGTATTGATATTATAAAGAGAAATTCTGTCTTGGTCACTCATGGGAGTTAAAGGGTTAACTGATAAAGTAAATTGGAAAATCTGATCATTTGTAGAATTGAGTATTCACCCTTTCACTCCCAGTAATGAAAAAGATATAATTTCTCCTTGAAATATAAATACAATATCAGGCAGACATATGATGAGAAGAAAAAAAAACATATCTACTAGCCTAAGGTAATGATTCATTGATCCACAACTCACTTAGAAATGTAATTGGACCCCATCAAATACAATTAAAAAGTATTCATGAATTGAGTTCAATTAAGCTTGATTCAGTCTGGTAATTTGGCTTGATATGGTGGAAAAAATGTGTGTGAGAGTAATAGCAAAAACCTGAAAAATTGCCTCAATCATGCTACATACTGCACTATATCTTGAACTGAATTTTTACAAGACACACAATTTGCCTCCAACACTCATCAATGACAGAATTTGTGTTGCGGGGACGTAAAATTTTGAAAATTACTGCATAAAAGTTTCAACCGGTATGTTAGCTATAACCTAATTCCTGTAACACTACCAGGATTGTGTTTACTTGGTAAACAATCTTACATGACCGGTGACTTTTCCTCGTAAACTTACTTAACAGCTGAGTTGGCAACAGGAAAAGAGATTCGAGGCCACATTTATACAAAACGTTTAAGACGTTATTGCACGATCCTTACTAAAATTACGAAAAGGGCCTCCCCAGGAAAAAACAAATAACCAGCTGAGCAACGTTTTGTGAGCGTTAAATTCGAATTTGGCATTAGCTTTGAAAATAAGGACGCACCTGAGCTTGTAGATCATTTGAAGGTTTTTTCTGATGATTGCGTTCAGAGTCGGGTAAACTTGGCTTTGTGTCTACGTCACTAGATTGTGCCAACTCACTGAACATTGTGCCTGGAGGTGATCGCTATGGGAAAGATAATAATGTTGGGGAAAAATGCATGCTAATTCTGCCCGCTTGCGTGTTATCCTCGCAAATGAGCGCGTCCTAGGCTTGGTAGCCAGGTTATTTATCATATGCCACAGTCATCCCAGTTCGGTCAGGCCAGACGGATACAAATGAACGAATACGCAGTTCAGTCGTTTTACTGATGGGATATTATTTCAAAACCTTTTGGATTTTGATATGCAACCTTTTTGCTGCAGAAATTCAAGAAATTAGATCAATTCTAACAGAATACTCTTACTCAGGGTGATCCCTTTTTTACCAAACTCCTGGAAATCTGAAATTTAGAGCATAACTCCACCCCCCTTTACCCGTGAACATAATACTTAACCCTCTAAACCCTAACATTAGAATGCATATTCTTCATACTGTTCTCTATGCATTTCCTAAAGTGCTGACCAGGAGAATTTATTTATCAATTAAGAGCTTCTTTAGTTGTTCTTATGACCAGAATGTTTGATCCAGGAGTGATATTTTAGGGAGAAATTGGATGCCAGTCACTCTTACGAGTTAAAAGGTTAAACGCTTCATCTCAATCTTTTCTCACAAGAATTTCCCAACAAAAATTAAGTCTAGAGTCAAAAGAGGGGGAAAAATCAGGAATATATTCAGACAAAAATGCAATACCCACACCTAATTTCCTCTCTTCTCCAAATTAATTTAATATAGATATATATCTGGGAGATAAAAATTGACGGTAATGACTGAACATGAGGCTGTATCTTAGAGCTACCAAGTTAGGAAGGAACCCAAGTTGATGACAGTGAGAACAATAGAAAAGGACGTAGGAAACACAAGACAGAGAATTCTAAATGTATTGGTATTGCTAACAGGAGCTGGGCTTGAAAAAGATGCCATGATGACTAAATGAAGATCAGTGAAATTTTTCAGTAATTAATACATTACTGAAGTGATGATGAAAATAAAGCCTAAAACATTCATTCCAATTGTAATGAGGAATTCAAACAGACTTGGAAAGCTCCAAATTACAATCCATAGATTACTCTGTCTTCATAATTTTGTTACAGTCAGTGACAGAATACTGGGACCATTAGAGTTGGCTCAAATTAGTGAACTTTAATAAAGATGTGGATTATAAAGAGCATTAGTTTCCTTCTCAGATACCAACATGTTCAAAGTTAGTCTCCTCTCCAGTCGTTTTTGGTTTTGGTCTAAACACACAATGCACTCTAACCCTTCATGTGGAGTAAGTAGGAAAGATCAAAGGCCACTCTGCATGCAAGGTTATCAAGTCATCATTCACTGGAAGACAATCTGTAGGCAACTACATATACACCAAACTACAGCTGAAGGAGACTCTTAACCCTTTCACTTCCATGATTGCATCAGAAATTCTCCTTACCATCTACAAAATAACTCATATTACTCTGGAGAATTTAGTATTGGATCAACTTGTAATCCTCTAAATGATATTTTTCTGCATTCTCATCACTTGATGCATGCTTGCTATAATATTGATATTCGGAAATTTTGCCTTAGTGGTCACCCATGGGAGTTCAAGGGTTAATGTCCAAAAGCTTCAATTAAATATTAACATTGGAAAAGATTCAGACAATCTTGTGCAAATATTAACCAAAAACTGAAAAATAAATAAATACTTGCTGAAAAAATGAACAAAATTCAAATAAAATAAACTTTAAGTAACATGTGGGTATAAATCTAATGGCATAACCAGACAACTTTTCATTAATTTTAAGTAATAGAACTCTTTACGAGAAAAATTGATAAAAAACAACTGGCCTTACAATTGAAACAAAACTAAGTTCTATTACAATTCTTCCAAAAAAGATGAACATAATATTCAATGAACTGTCTTACTAAAGCTCATATATCAAGCTACCCATAATAACAATCACAATATCTTATCTCTTGTAAGTTATTTTTTGATAAATAATTGGACATGCTTTACATTTTTTCCCTCTCATATACTGGATTCTTTCCATAAATTAATAAAAGTGATTTCTTATCCATGTAACTTGCAATTTGTAGTGTTGTGCAAACAACAGAATACTCCATGCTGCAACCCTTTTGGCTGCCATGGCAAGTAAAAACATTTTGGCAACTAAATTTTCAGTTGAAGTTGCTGCTTAGGCAACCTGTATTGGCAGTCATGAATCAAATTCAACCATTTTCATAACTTAATCTCTCTGGTGCAAAGTTCAAGATAAATAGACAATGATACAAAATAAATTGAAATTGAATTGAGAAATTCCTTTTCAAACAACTTGACAAGACTAGAGTCTTACTAGAAATCTGTAAGGTTTACTTAGTTACTGGACATTTGCACCCTACATATCTACATCTAATTTCTTTTCCCTAGAAACATCCATGAGAATCTAATTAAGCAAAATACAATATAAATTGGACGTAATAGGTATATAAATGTGAAATACACCATTATTAATATTGTTGTTGTTATTGATACTATTCCAGTAAAATAGTATGGGAGCAAAATTTAATCATGTAGTTTGATCATCTGCATCAATCTTTTACACCCAAATATCAGTATCCATTTTTTCCATAACCCTTCCTTTGGTGCTGACAAGGAGAATTTGTTTTACAGTCATAGCTTGTTAGGTTAACAATCATTTCTTTTCTTCTCATGATCTTAACGAATGATTCAGCAGTATTACTTTAGGAGAAATAAGATGCTGGTCATTCTTGGGGTTTAAGTAGTCCTGAGAAGGACCATTATCAGTAGTAGTGAATAGCATTTTAACATCAGTAGCAGAAGTCTTCATCAGAGTCACATGAGGAATTATTGTCAGTGATGTGCAATATGTCCAATTTGTGTAAACTGATTAGTCAGTTTTGTTGTGATGTTATTAAAATATCAGACTGCTTGATCAAATTCCCTTTAGGTCACTTCAGGGAGTAAAATGGATTGAGAACCAAAAATGTTTGAATGAAGTATCTAACGTCCAGAAGTGATAAATATGACACTCCTTTTAGAGTTATATATATCATCCAAGAAACAAGAAAGAAGAATGGACAAACCTAATAGTTAGCAGGTGTAACCTTGACACAATACCCAATTCTCTTCACTAAGTTACAAGGAAATATATAGCAGCTCACATGGCGAATTACTAATCATATCCTAGGAGTTTAAAGGCAAATAAAAAGCAGAATAAAAATTGAAAGTTTTACCACTTAACCCTTCAACTCCCATGATCTTGAGTGACCAAAACAGAATTTCTCCTAACAATATCAATACAAAATAAAGCACGCAAGTAATGGGAATTAAGGAAAATTTCAAAAAGAAGATTATTGGTTGATCCAATACAAAATTCTCAAAAGTAACATTATAAGTTTTGTATAGCAGAAAGTAATGAGAATTACCAATAAGATCTTGGGAGTGAAAGGGTTACATATAAGCCGACAAGACCATAACTTAAATTTCTGTCCTGAAATTAAATAAGGTTGCACATTCACCAAAGCAATACTTATCACAGTAATTGAGACATTACAGAAAGTACGATGCAAGCTGTGACATTTTATCCTTGGGTCTACCTCTGCCCTTTCCTCTCCTACCACCCCTGCCACGCCTTCCTCCTCTGCCTCGCCCTCCTCTGTACATGGGGTGCTTTGATGCTGCATGGGACATTTTGACCAGAGGTGCAAGCAGTGGATCACAGAAGAGACAACCGACATGTTGGGTCTTTTCACCGGGCAGTGGTGACTTGGTGCGGTTGAAATCAATGTTCAGAAGAGTTGTCCCACATTCACACTCCTGATCTGTGGCACTCACTCGGAATGCATCTTCAAATACATGTATCACCAGATTACATCTGTTACAAGCAAGTTTCCACTTGGGAGCTGAGGTTGGATCAAGCACAAGGCTTCCATTATCGCACTCAGTGCAGTCAGCTATGCTGAGACTCACCTCAGAGTGGGCGCATGTGGGATGTGTACACTGATTACAGCCCATACCTTTCCGCATTTCTGAGAAGGGTGGATGGTTGTAGCAGTAAGGGCAAACTAAGGTACTCTTTCCTCTCCCTCCAGTAGACCACAACACCAACTCAAACTCATCCAAGGGACACTTCAGTTCCTTGTACAGTTTGATGCTTCCATTTTGTGGAAGACTATATGTCTCATCACAGTTGGCACAATGCAGGCGTGTTGGTTTAGCACTGATGTACTTCATATACCTGTTACATTTGCCACACCTTGACAAGGCCTTGCCAGTATCTTTGAGTGGCGTAAATGATACTTCAAAAAGCTCATCCATGCTTGTGATGGTTTGCACAAAATAAACAAATTTCCTTGTGAAGATTCCAATGGCATGTTGCAAAACAGAATCAAATTCTGCCTTCCCAACAGCAATTAGGTTTAATTGCTGCTCAACAGCTGATCGCATGGTGGGTAGAACAAGCTGAGGATCAATTTTTTGGTAGCCATGTACCAACACAATTCCAAGAGGGGTTGGTTGAAGCTTTCGGCCACTGAGTACCTGGACATAGTTTCTTTCACAGATGTTATTAATGTGAACAGAAATACTTGCATCTGTTCCAATACCATGCTTCTCCATCAGTGAAATGAGCTCACTCTCTGTGAGGTAATCAGGAGGTGAAGTTTGTCTTTCTTCAAGTTTCACTTCTGCAATTTGATATGAATCATGCTGTTGACAATGAGGCATTCGTTCATCACTGGAAATTGCCTGCCAGTCCATCACAGACGTGAAGCCTGGGTTGGTCACAGCTTTACCAGTGAATGAAAAGGCCTCCTGCTCAATTGAAAACTTCACTGTTGTTTGCAAGTATTTACAGTCATAGCTGACACTGGCTATAAAAGATCTTGTGATCAACTCATATAATCTCCATGCATCACCCCCCAGCTCAGCTTCACTCGCAGGCTTCATTGGTGTTATGGGTGGATGGTCACCAGCATCATGCCCCTTCCTTGGCTTGTTAATACCCTGCTCTAGAAGTTCTCGTACAGATGAACCCCAGCTGGAGTTTGTCTGCTGCTGTCGGAGAGTTCCCTTCAGATCAAAATTCTCTGGGTAGTGAGTTGTTTCTGTACGAGGGTAGCTGATGTAGCCTTGTGTGTAAAGCCTCTCTGCTATTTGCATGCAGTGCTGGGGACCCATATTAAGCCCTGAAGAAGCCATACGTAACATTTCAATAGTGTTTAAAGCAATGGGCCTTTGTTTGGATTTCTCCTTTTTGGAAACACCAACCACAGTTGCTGACCTTGATGACTTGACAGCTTTTTGAAACATGACAGCTACCTCTTTATCAAACAGTCGACCCCTGTCCCAGTCAAGCTGCAAGGTCTGACCACTTGGGTGGAGTACCTGGGTTTTAAGTACCCAGAAAGGTTCAGGTTTGAACGACTGTATCTGGTCGTGACGTTCCACACAAAAGCCTAGAGTGGGTGTCTGACAAGGGCCATAAGAAATCAGCCCACTATCCAAGTCACCATATTTCCCCTGGAAGTACTTTGTCTGAAATCGCGTAAATGCACAACCAATCCTTAGGTCCAGCTCCTGCCGAGCATCAACTGACCTAGCCTCATTCCTATTAGGCTCGCTTAAACGATGCATGGCACTGCAAATGTCAGTCTCTGTTATGGCAGAAAACTTCGCACGGAATACATTCTTGTTGCCTGATTTCTTATTCATAACAGGCCTGACGCAATCCAGCACCTCAAAACAGATGTTCTCCCCTTCTTTGTCGCAATCCAACCACAGAACAATGTAATCGACGCCTTTTCCCTCCTGCTGCAAGAATCTAGGCATTTGCAGTTTTTCGTTGGCCTCTTTCTTCAGCGTTGTAGCCGTGAAAAGTTCCTGAGGATTAACAGCGTCCCAGTTATTGAACTTGTGATGAAAATCCAAGGTCATTACGTGCCCACACACAGAGGTCATTTTAAATTTCACCGGCTCTTTGTTGAACTGTCCGTCATACTCGTGTACTGAACAAGCTCCATTAAGCCCCTTTCTCGTCTTCATCTGTCCCTTAGAGAGAAATTTGGCGATTGACTGAGCCAGGGAAGGCTTCTCTGCTACCATAAGTACAGTCTTCATAGTTGCTGGGAGATGTTTCTGGGCTGCAAAGGAAGCCTCAAAATACTGAATACAAATAAAATTTTTAGCATTCCTCCACGTGGCAATTAGTGATTACCGAAGCGGTGTAATGAGCAAACACATGCGCTGAGCCTTCACTTGCTACCTGTCAGAGGATTCTTTTCCTAACTGAGTATGCTCAAAGATGGCTCTGACCCAGGTCTCCATGGAATTTGTATACATAGAATATGAAAAACAAGAAAACATCCACTAGTTCAGCTGTGTGACAAAATTATAGGCTGAACGTTTTCATTTCGAAACATCTGGTCCATGACATTTGAAACTTAATCACAGCCTCTGAGTCACTTATGGTGATGTATTTTCCCATAAACGGACGGTTAGAGTCGCTTTAAGTTTGTGCTGTCACAGGGAAAGTTCAAATCTCAACGAACATAGCTTCAGAACATGGCTGAAGTTGCGATCGATACAGAAAGCTCTAGAGACCCCAGTTCGCGACGAGGACGTCGTAAAAAGAGAATGTCAAGAGAAATTGACGATTACACAAACGAAAGTATAGAATCACCGAGCTCTTTACCAGAGAGAATTCCTCTTCAAGATGTTGCAGACGGCGACAAAGGTGGAGTGACTCGTAGCGCGTCGAATAATTCTGGTGATCAAGAGGGAAGCTCAGGGATTCCGCAATCAACTTCGGAAAGAAAAAACCGTGCTAGAAGACAGAGAAGAAGGTCCAGGATGGAAAATGGTAACAAAATAAAGTATTGATTTTATAATTCCTCTTATTCACAAGCTCTAAGCCTGCCGTAGCTGCGAGATTACAGGTTATAGACTAGTTTAGATAGTAAAACCCGCTCAGACTTTCCTGATCCTCGTAGTATTGGCTTTGTCAGTCATTCAGTTGATAGCAGTACCCAGCCCTTCTGTGGGAGACATAAGTTCAAGACCAGTAGAAGTCTCATTTGATTTTGCTAGCTCCACAATCTGGAGTTGTTGTTTTAACCTTATCATCTATTGGTTAAACATGATTTATTTGATTTTTCCATTAGATTGTGCCCTAAGTTTTGTTTTAGAGAAAAAAAAGTTTGGGTTAATATACCTTTTACCTGTCCTTCAGAAAATCTTGATACCTTATTTCCTAGAATATTCCCCAAGAGCGCTTGTTTGAAAATTTCTGCAAAAAGGAAGGCACTTAGTCTAGGGGGCTCTTATTATTTTCCTGTATGGATTCCTCTGAAGTTTAAGCGTAAAAAGTTATAAATAAAGCGGCAGGAGAAACAGGTTTTCTTTGTATTGAATTCCTACTATTTAAGAAAGTGATGTTGGAATAGAGGACTTATTCAAGAGGGCACTTGATTGACATCATCAACTTTGAAACTCTTTATGGTGGCAAATTTACCTCATCAAGTCTGTTGATAATACTAAATTACCCTGTTATACTATCCCACCAATGCAGGTTTTTTAGAAACTTACCCCTGTTATTTATATGTTTGACATAATGGCCTGGGAAATGGGTGCTTTTTGGGGAGAGAGTGCCTTTTAGAGTATGGGTACTTCAAGGAAATGTGATACTTTCGCTCTCTGGAGTGACCTAAAGTATGAATACATTTTCAGGTAGAAAGGTGAAGAGAAGAAAAATATTGTAATTGAATTAAATAAACCGGTTAAATTCCAGTGGACACTGGCTGCCTATTTTGATATAAGTAATCAAAACAATTGTTACAGAATGGTTTCTAACATCAAAAAGAATTTACATCAGAATTCAAAAGCACCTGGGCAATTTTACTAACACAGTTGCTTGTCTTTTGGATTATTCAACAATATTTACTTGTCTTAGGTGAATAATTGTTCAATTAATTTACTTTTATTCAGGAGATGTTTATGATGGAATGGAGTCTAAAACACTAGATATACCAGAAAAGAAAAGATATAAACGCCCTGCATCTGGTGTAACTCGTCATGCCAGATCAGCCAGTGCTGAGGTCATCAATAGGGACGAGGAGGATATGATGGGAGATAATGAAAATTTTACTCCTGCAAGGAGAAGGCCAAGGAGGAAAAGAACACATGGTGAATTTATTTTTTGTTTTTTTTTTTTAAGTTTTTAAGCAAAATGTATGGTACTCTTTCTCTTTGAAACTGATATGTTTGGCTAGCCATATCAAGCTCAAGGCATAGAACTTTCTTTATTTTTCCTTTATGGACTACAAGGTTACTAATGTCCAAAAAATCCAACAACAACTGCAGGGTAAAAAGCTGGACTTGTAGGGAAATTAATAGCCACATTTTGCGTTTCAAAATCAAACACTTGTAAGGTACACACTAACCTAAAATGATACTTATTTTTCTTTTTGTAAGCAGTTATTATTTGTATGGGTTGTGAAGTTATTAGTTATGGACCAAATAAATTATCATTTGTCCAAAGTTAGGTTAAAAGATGTCCCAGATGTTTAGAAATCTTAAGTTTTCTATGGAGAAAGGAACACCTTTTAGGAGAATGGGTATTTGAAAACATAATGCATGGTGTAATTAAGACTTAATTTTGAACACCTGGAAAAGTGTGAAAATTAAAAAGAAACCCACAAAAATGTGGGAAGAGGTCTCAAGTTTTTTTCAGAGCTTTAAAAGGTTACCCAAATTTCATGATAAATTACAAGTACCTTGGCATGGCCAAAGAATTGTTTTTGCCATAATCAGATAACTTTGAGTTTGGAGCAGACCTTTAACAACCGTCCTCCTGCATGAAATGTTGTCATTTGACTCAGAAGCTTGAGCATGGAAAATCTAACTACTGGTTTTAGAAAATTTTGTAAGTTACTGTAGACAAAAAATGTACAAAAAAGTTTATGTAACAACTCATGAGTTTTGTTTCAGGCTCCCGAGATGTCATCAATGGTGAAGAATATACTTATGACTACGATGGATATGACGGCCCAGGAGACTCAAAGAGGACAAGACCAAAGAAAAATAAAACAAAGAAGTCTCAAAGGTGCACAATGAGTTTTCTTTTCTTGAGTTGGCCCTCCTCTGGTATGAGTATGTTACTTACTAGTGGCATGTAGCAAAATTGTGGTCTATTTTATCAAGAGGAGTGGTGGTGAAATTTCCAGCACAGTGACTGGGAAAAGGAGGCACTCTGTATGCTGTGAGTAAGAATTGCTATTCCAGGCAAGCTGTGCTGGAATTCCCTAAACAAGAACCTAAAAAAATTGATGTGCTCATTGCTTCAGAGAGGACCAAGATTATCTAGGAATTTAGTTGTATTTGTAGTATGATTACTGACTCAATGTGAAAGTGATGTTTGTTAATAAAGAAGAAGTTCAGCAATTTGAAGTGAAAGATTTTGTTTTGATATGCAAAGTAATGATTTGTCAAAAGGCTTGTACCTGCATATATGCTGCACCCCTAACTTTGATCCCATATTTGCAAAAAAGAAAAGCTGTGGTCTGTTTGCAAATAATTGCAGAATATTTTCTCAGTATATTTTTCTCAAATGAAATTAATAACAATATTTTTCATTTTATTAATTCTCAGACAGCAAACTGGAACATCAGCTGAGGAAGACAACTATAATGCTGATAATGATGAAGAAGGTTAAAGGATTGATTTTTTTTTGTATGTTGACATGTTTCCTTGAGTGTAAATAATTTAAAACCTTTTTAAATTGATGTAAGTTCCAAATTAGGGTAAGGTAAAATTTCAGCGTTAATTAAAAGCCATGTGCCTTGATATTTTAAAAGGATTTTTTATAAAAAAATTGTTTTAAAGGTGGAATCATTCAGGTGTGTGACCACCTATCCTGTTAACCCTTTCACTTCCAGTGGTGATTAACATATAACTTCTTCCCACAATATCTGTATATTATCCTGCAAATAGGTAATAAGAATACTCAAACTAATCAGGTTGAAGTTGTTATCTTGATCTAAAAAAAATTTTTCACAACTAATTTGCAAGGGAATGGGTAGCATTAACCATCAAATCTTTGAAGTTAAAGGTTGAAAGTTTTGTCTTACAAGCTTTTAAAGAGTGATTATGTATTTGTTTGTATCTGATTTGAGTTTATTTGTGTCCTATTTTAATTTATTTGTGTACTCTTACTGTTCCTTACAGCTTCAATAGTTGACTATTATAAAGTGGACAAAGAAGACATTGTCGTGAGCAACACCTCAGAAACATCACCCCCTGCCCTACCCCCTGTGGCTCAGACCTTGCCAAGTCAACCACTAGATGTTGTTTTTATTGAACGAAGAGGTGAGAATCGTTGATTCACTGAAATAAAAGTTGACAAAAAGAAAAAAAAAAAGAACTGTACCAAGTAACGCATGGTATGGATGGTAAAGATACAGTCTTGTTTTCAAAATAAAATCCTTTATCTGGTAGAGCTGACATACAATTTTCTCACAATCTGAAGACTCAAAATGATTGTGTCTTATTTGTGCCCTTGCAGTGATCTCTTTTTTAAAATATGTAATATGTAACCATATTAATATCTCTTAATCAACTTACAGCTTGTTTTAAACAAATTCTCCTTGCCAGCTCTTAAGGAAATGTATTAGAGAACAGTGCGGAAAATATGCATACTGTTGTTAGGGTGTGAAGGATTACCAGATTTTACTTACTTTGAATAAGGAAAAAGAAGTCTGTTAATGTTTCATTCTAGATGGCCAGGGATTTACACGGGAGAGAAAAACAAGGTTAATGCAAATGGAAGAGGAGAGAAATAAAGAACCTGAAAAGATTCCCTCCTCCATGCAGATGACAACTGCTGAATTTGCTGTGGTAGGCTTAGTCACTGATTAAGTTGTTAGATTGTCCTCACCATTATATAGGTCACAATAAAAACCCTCAGAAACACCAACCCTGTAAAATTTGTCTTGCATAATTCCAGTTACATTGAAGCATGAATTTAAAATTTTGCAAGTGGTTATTTTCATTTGCAAAAGAATGTTGTACACTTTGAAATATGCAGCAAAAAAGAAACACCAAAAAAATAAACTACTAAGAAGTGTTATTAACTCTTTGACTCCTGGAAGTGATTAACATGTAACTTCTCACTATAATATACATACATTATCCAGTAAACAGGTAATATTCAGACTTATCGCATAGAAGTTGTTGTTTTGATTTAACACCAAATTCTCATGACTCAAATTTGTAGCATCTAGAGTGGAGAATTGACAATCAGATTGTGGGAGTAAAGGGTAAAATAGTTAAGGGTTAGGGTAGACTTTTTTTTTTTTCATTGGAAAGCTAAGACTATGCAACAGTGGAAGCCAATTTAATATATCTTTCCAAGAAGAATACATGTTTTTGTCTGGCTTATGCCTGTTACACAAGCATAACTCAATTCAGCTGCCTTCTCAGTTTAGATTATACGTCTATCTAATGACAGCCCTGAATTTTTTTAAAAAGTTTCAGAATTACTTGCAAAATTGCATGGTTGTCGACATGACTAATTCAATGATATCTTTCTTTTTTCTTTATCTTTTTCAGTCAGTGCATAAAGCCTTTAGATCTTTTTCTGTTTTCTGCCATGGACTTCTTGCAGGTTGTCACAGACTGAAATGGCTTTTAAATAATATGCTAGCACAAGTTATATGATAGGCATCTCATGTCTTCAGTATCACACATGAATCACACATTAGGTGTGTATTAGGTTGCAAGAGTAAGGAAATGATTGTCAAATAAAGAAGCCTTGGGTTGAACAAATTCTCCTTGTCAGCACCTTAAGGAATATATCAAGAATATTATGGAGAATATACATACTGATGTTAGGGTGTAAAAGATTAACTAGCGGTAACTTGCATGTTCCTATCCCTTAGGCAGTTTGTTTGTTTGTTTTTTTTACCTTAAGTTCTAGTGAACTCTTTGTGCTATTATTCTGTACTTTGACTAACTGATGTGTTTGCCTCGGTTTTGACATTACAGCTCTCCATCAACAAGTTCTCCAAAGGGTTAACCAGTTTTGTGTTCCTCTCTGTTTCAGGTCTAGCACTTTGCCAGGTCATCTTTGTTTACTCGCTTAGTAATAACAGTGAAGGTGATGTGGTCTTCCTGGAAAACTACTACAAGTTGGCACAACCTTTACAGTCACTATACTACATGCTGTTTGCAATCTGTACAGTGTCTGTCTTTGACAGGTTTGCATTATTTTTAATTTTGACGTCCATCTGTGCTATGATTAACAAATATATTCCATGTTGTCATATTGTCTTCTGGGATCTTCTACTGAACAGATGCATGACAACCTGGAATCTCTGTTTTATATGATAAAAAAGCAAAATGTTGTTAAAGGTTATGTCATCTCTGCAGCTGTCCTCCAATAGATCATTAGTAAGAGCCATGTACAATTCAAGTTATATAATTTCATTGAGATAAGGGTTTTTTACAGACTTAATTTATAGTGTTTTGTGTAATTTTGTGTGAAGTTCTAACCACCAGCTCCTTGATTGTGATCACAAAATATTAATTTGGTAAGGAAGAAAAACAAAAGAGAAGCACAATTGAACCTTGAAAGAACAAGGATGGTCAGGAATAGAGAAGACTATTACAATGGATATTATATTTTAAGTCAAATTATACAGGCATTTTTATTGGTTCTCGCTAATGATCTATTGGAGGACAGACACATACATGATGTCACAATTAACCACATTTTAGTTTTTTATCATATAAAACAGATTCAATTTTGCCTTGGGTCTGCACAGTAATAAATCACAGTGACATACTCTGTGACACATCAGTGACACTCAGCTGGGTCTCCTGTGCCACTTTTCTGTTCTTACCACCTTTTGACGTCATCTGTTATCTATTTATGCAGGTAGTAGCATGATTTCGAGTGCAATTTCGTGTTAATAAGCACGAATAATTTTTTTAAAAACAACAATATTTTACGAGCCCGTAGGGCGAGTGCAATTTGTAGTCTTTGAAAATTTATAAGTGCTTATTTACACCAAATTGTTATGGAAATCATGTTTTTAATAATTTACATGAAAAACTCATCACAGAAACTCAAGAAGGACGAAGTTTTGGTAGCGCGCGCACTATTTGTAATTTGCACTCGTGTTACAACTTTGCACTCGCGTTAAATTAAAAATTCACACATTTTCAGCTAATCAGACGTGCGTAATTTTTTCATTTATGGTATACTGTTTATATGATAAGCCCAGTCAGACATGTTTTTTTGATTGGTTCTTATGATCTGTTGGAGAAAAGATACGAAGATGATGTCACAAGTAAAAACATTTTACCTTTCTTATCATATAAAAAAGATTCTATGTAACGCGTACTTTTGTTATATTCACAGATACGATATGGCAAATCCACGGTCTGGCTTTTTCCGGGACTTGCTGTCGAGACCATCTAGAATTCTTTCAATAAGTGGTGCGTAAGAAAAAAATACAGTTTATCAGTATTAACCGCCACGAGCTAAACAGGCTCTTCTTGTCAACTTACAATACAATTAGGTTCACGTGAGATGTGGTGACTTCATTGAGGTCGGATCTTCTGTTTTTCTCGTGAATCTGCTTCATAGCTGTTGGATCTCCACCTCGCCCACTGTTTTCCTTCCCCTGCCCCAATCGATGTTGGCAGGTAGCTACAGGAAGGGCTCCTGTCTAGGTTTAGGGTATTTGCCAGCTACGGGAGTGGTCTTTCATGTGACGGTAGGCTGGACATAGTGGAAGCCTCTTGATACCCCAGGCACAGTCCATTTAACACTTTGACACCTAAGAGTGACTAGCATCTAGTTTCTCCTTATAGGATCACCCCTGAATCATACATTAAGGTCACGAGAATGAATGAAATGATCACCAACTGAAGAAGCTCCTTATTATTAAAAAAATTCTCCATTTTCGTACGGTAGGAAATGTTAACACTGATGAAAGGACCTAAAGGGTTAACGAAGCGGTTGGTTAATCTTCATGAGATCGCTTCCCTTTCATCTCTTTTAGCACCTCTGCGTTAAGGAAAATATTCTTAGTCCCGTTTAATCATAAACCTTGAAATTTTTTAACAATTTTGGCTTTTTTTTTCGTCTTTGACAGCATACCTCTTTGCTATGGTCTTTTCAATAAGTGTGGCCAACATAGACGACAGAATCAGTTTGTACAAGGTACACAGCGACTTATGGTGAGTTTATGTCTTTTCGAGAAAGCATAAGTTCAAGTGTTTTGCGCTCGTTATCAGAATTACATTATTGCTTATAGTGGAATTTTGTTAGTGCCTTTGTTGAAGAACGAGAGTCCGGAAAATCCAAGCCCGATATGAGGGTTCTAGATTACTGACTCATTTTCTCTCTTCTTTGCAAAATTAAACAAGGTATTGGGGCGTCTTCTTTTCGACTGTGTTGGGTTGAGAGGTAAAATTAACAGAAGAATATACATAGTCGTCTGTGGTTCAAGGTATCAAAAAACCAATCATGACTTGGTCGCCTGCGTTTTCCTGCGCTTTGTGCAGTTTTTATTTTGAGTTCTCATTGGCTCTTACAGTATTTTCCTTTTTTCTGATTGGCCTAGAGGATTGCTGTGGTTTTGGTTTTACAACACTCAATCAAACAGCGCTCTCTGCAAGGCTCAAGTGAACTAAATTCCCCAATATTTGGCTCTTTATGTATTTTCTGTGTTTGTTTCCATTCGCCTGTTTACCTTGTTTGTTTGTTTGTTTGTTTATTGCAGGGGACACGCGGAGACTTCTTCGTTGTTGGATACTTGGAGGATCATCAACCTCATGCGCGTGTTAGGGGCCGTGTTAGGCTGGGTACTAGTATCAGCTCAGCCGTCAGACGAATGTACGGCAGGTGAGTAGACAATTTTTTTTCATCCGAAATATCTTGGCTTTTGAAGCGGAATGTGTTATGAATACGGAATTTAAGACATAGTAAACTACCTGGTCTTAGGATTCGTTGCTTGTTATTTAGAGGTGATTTTACCAATTTTAGCCTCTTTCAATGTTAATTTAAAGTTAACTCATGATAAAGAAATTAACCCTTCAACTCCCATGAGTGACCGAGACAGAATTTCTCCTTACAATATCAATATAAAATCAACCAGATAAGTGATGAGAATAAAGAATAATATCAATTTGGGGATAATTAGTTGACTCAATACTAAATTCTCTGAATGAACACCATAAGAATTGTTTGGTTGACAGTAAGGAGAATGACAAATTTGATCTGAAGTATACCGTTATGGTAATCCAAAACGGAATGATTGTTACACCCAAGTTCTACCTGTTCGTTTGACTTCGATGATTTCTTCTAACAGAGAACTTGTACGAGGGAGAACTGCTGCCCGGAGAACAGAGACTCGTGCAACAACGAGCAGCCAAAAGTGAACCTCAGCTTGTGGTGTAATCATGTGAAAACACGGTTGGAGACTGGTTCGAGCTACACCCAAACTTGAGTCGTTTCACACTCAAGACGTGTTTAAAAGACACGTGACAAGACGGGAATTGTAAACAAGGAATGTTACGTATGAGTGCAGCACAAGAGGTCGCTTGTAGTTTCATCTGTTTTTTGGACGACAACGATTCTCTGAATTTTCTTACAATTTAAGCCACAAGCATATTGCTAAATGCTGTAAATAACGTCTCCAGTTAACCTTTAATTATTGCACCGAAGGCGACCATGATGTATCTGTTCTTTAAATAGAGATATTGTTTAGACTTTCAGAAATACCTGAAGTTTGAAATTTAGTAATAAAAAAAGTACTCTGTACGGAAACTTGTATGAGATAATCATAAAGGGAACAGCAGCTCTAAGTCGGAATAATTATGAGGATCGAAACGCACCAATGACAACAGACACAGGTGCTACATATAGGGACACCTAAAACTTTGTAGGCTACGTGTAGCCGTACCCTCCCTCCCAAGGTGAAACGGAGGCGAGGGTTTCCTTATAAACTAACTGATGGTACAAGTGCCTTGATTAGTCAAAAACCTATCATTAATTACACAACCACAGTTCCTTTTTAAGCAGTAGGCCGTATTTTCAATCACGAGTCGGAGGCGAGTGATTAACAAACTTTCCTCGTATTCTCCCAACATCCCGTGTGGGTTAATATATAGATTTAGCCAAGCCTAAAAGCAGAGCTCGCATTTTTTTCCCGCACGTCTCAAGGGCACAACGCCTTGCCCCGGCCAGGACTAGAATCCGGGTCGTCCGACTCGGAGCCCAGTGCGCTGACCACTGGACTACTGAACAAAGCCGTGGCGTTGGCGTGCCCGCGGTAGAGTTCACCACGCATACTAAAAGTAGCACCTTGTACGGTCGATGGGTTACTACTATTTTGTACAATTATAGGGCTACGCTCTGCGAGCTCCGCTATTACGCCGCTAAACGAAAAGGTGTGGTTTAGATCTTAAATGCAGTATACCAGATTCTGTCCTGAGAAACGTGTTGAAAATCTTGAAATATCCTTTGCCACTCTTATTTGAGACCACTGAGTAGTACAGAATGAATGCGCAAGTTAAAGTAGAATTGAGATTCTCTTTATTCCTTGCTTTGTACATGTCGTGAATACAAAAATAAAACGAATCGCGAATTGCCACACTTATTTCACAAGTGTAAAATCCATCTGATTTTCAAGAAATATATTTTTCCCTAAAAATTAATTATGTTCCCCTTTGCGATAATCACTGCGCCTAGAGTGTATTCTACATTTTTATTAAAGATGTCTGACTTAAATAAATTAGTAAAATAAGAGAGGAGTTCAAATTTTGAATGTGCTACGAGAATTTGAAATTTACGTTCTACTTGGTCTAAAAAAATACACAAATCTGATAACGACTTTGAGTTCTGAAAAATAAACACCTCGGTTGGGGTTAAAAATGATAAAAATCACCCAAATCTCTTTCCCTTCACTACAATATTGTGTGTCGTGTGATACAAAACGTAACGTGAAAAAACAGCCGATAAGTGTTACAGGGAACACTTCGCGTCGTTGAGAAGCAAGTAGTATCTATATTTCGTGTGCGTTTTAAATATTTAAATTTTCTACGTTAGCCTGGCTAAAAATCAGTTACTTCCTCCAACTATTTTACAACTGTATTGGCAAAATGCGGTTTAAATCCAATCTCCAAAGAGAGATGACACGTACTAAGCTACTCTACAACAACCCAGGCTTTCTGCGAGCGTCCATTCCTCAGTTACTCACTCAAATCTGATTGTCACACAATTTATTTGTCACATTCATGTCACACTAACTAAATCGCTTGAAAAGCCTAAAAAATACAGTCCTCTAAAAAGTTTTCTTGACAGAACTAAGCTACAAAAGTACACGGGCTGAAAATATCATCTTTATTCACTAGACTACGGAAATTACGAATCGCCGTATAGTATATCCCTTCAAGCTCGTGATTCCTTAATACTTGTGGCGTTTTTGACGTTCTAGTCCAGCCAAACATGTTTGAACACGACTACAAACTGCACCATTTAATTCAAATAATACAAGGCTACAGCTACAGTGTCTACTTCTTCACTTCTCTCTATCGCCTGGGTTGTATTTGAGGTTTACGACCTCCGGGACCAGACGAACGCTGATCGTCCATTCTATTTGATTGAAGGCGAAGTATCAGACCAAAGAAGTCCTCGTCAGGTACTGTGGGCGCATTGGGCGGCGGCTCCGAGCGCTGATCCTCAATACGGTGGGACTAGGGAGAGGAATGAAAAATCTTAATGACTGGTCTTTTTTCGGTGGTATCCCAAGAACTGGTTACTTTCAAAAATATTGAAAGTATTGTTATTATTATTGTTATTATTATTATTATTATTATTATCATCAGAATTGTTACCATTATTATCATTATTATTATTATAAAATTATACAAGCAGTCGATTTTATTTCACTGTTCGAATACATGTAGTACCATCTAACAGGCTCAAACCGCGGAATTGTTCTCACTTGTCAATACGCCTCTGTACTTGATTCAATATGACATCTTAAGCGTGAAAGGAAATCAACTCATTCTCAAATGATGAGGACCTGGTCGTAGGCTAGTTGTTAACACAGTCGAGCTGTTATTGACAAAAAGCACCCTGAACGATACTTACTTGACTTCGGAGAACCATTTCATAAAGATCTTCATCGCCAGGGTTGTCTCGTCTCTTTGGCAGTCTCCCTTAATGGAAAAAAAAATTGAATTCAATTTTGTTCCTAATATTCCGTTAGTGATAATTTCACTTCACCATATTTAATAATTCACCGCTTGAGTAACGCAAGTTCGAACAAAGACATTTCGTGGCTACCACAACTCATCAAAATCTGTTAACCCTTTAACTCCCAAGATCTAATTGTGAATTCTCCCTTTTAGTTGTTACACATTTCCTTGTAAATCAATAACGAGAATTTAGCGTTAGGTCATGACAACAACTTCAACCTGACAAATTTGAGTGTTCTCAATACCTGTTACCTGGATAATGTATGGATATTATGGGATGAAGTTACATCATCTTAATCACCACATTAATTAGAAGCTATACTCAGCTTTGAAGCGCTTAATCTTATTGTGACACAACCAAAAATGTGACAACCCCCACGGGCCATCCGGCAATAAATAATGACGGGTCTCTTAAGGGATTAAACAAAGTCAGATCTCGGAAACAAACGTACTTATCTGAGACGGGTCATCCTCGAAAGGAAGATCACTCCGTTGTTCTTCCATTCTGTCTCCCTGTACTCGTTCCACCATATCCAACATGTCTTCCGTACTCTTGCTCTTTTCGATTGGTTTAGGGAGCTCGCAACGCTGCTCATCCATTCGGTTACCCTGGCAACGACTCAGGAATTCGAAGAAGTCTTCGTTCAGTGCATGATCATTCTGTTTCTGCAAAATTGTACATATAAATGGTAATTTATTTGATTGTTATCTCCACGATCACAAAAACATCATTTCTACGACAGTTTGAAGTGCCGTCTATGATAAGAATTTTAAGTGATACTTGGAGAATTTAAATTTCAAAAAGGTTGATAATCTTAAATAAAATTTCATGACGCACTCTTAAGAGAGCAGTCAGGTTTGACTAGAACTGATTACATCTGCTTGAGGCTATACTAGACACACCGGCTACCTTTGAAGCCTCTAACTGCAATATGGAAAACACAATTGTTTTTCCCTTTACATGGACAATTCTTACTACTCGCAAGGACAACTCTACTGCTGGTTGGTTTACTGAAGATAAATGTGCTTTTCGGCCAAGGATGGGCGCAAAGAGAACAGAAAACGCGTATATTTCCCTCATTGTAACGAACCAAAGACAGAACAGAACAAAACAAAACGCCAAAACAACAAAAAAAGCAAAGCCATGAAAATCGAGGGAAACAAACCAGTATTGACAAATTTCAAGTCATCTTTACATTCTTGAACGGCACCAGTCTTGTTGACCAATATATTTAACAGTTACTCAACTAAGAAGCTCATTAGACTATTCCGTCATTTCAACTCAAGAAAGTTCTAGATTTCGTATTTTCCAATTCCACAACTATGCAGAAAACTCTTAGCCATAGCAGCGTAGGGACAAGAAAAAAATCAGAAAAAGTTATTGGTGTACCAAAATTAAAACGAACACAGAAGTCTGCAGGACGAGTGCTCTCGATTAAAGTATCAATTTTTATTTCATAAATTTCGTATTATGACAAAACCTCAACATTGGTTACGGCTCCGTGTCGTATGATCATCACAACACCGTCTTATTCGCTTACAGAACAACTATAATCTTTACGTCTTATCGATCGGCGGCCTAGAGGCTGTCATGTTGTCGAACTCTGTTGGTAAAAGATATCACTTGAAAGAGGAGTGAACCCATCCCCTGGTCCTCTGAAATAATTTTTGAAAGAGTAACTGTAATCTTCGCGCGCGTGGCAGTTGATACCGCGGTCTAAATAATAAAGTCTGTCATCTGTTCGAGCTATCGGCTTGTGGGCTCGAAGAAAATGATGTATTTGAAAAGCAATTCAAGTAAAAATAACACTATTATGATCAGGTGACTGCAATCAGTCTATCGAACGAGAACGATCTTGTAATGGAACAGTGGACAGATTGGATCTCGGAACCACCGGAACTCGAAACCAGCGCCCTAACTGATCAGTCACGCTATCTGGTGTTAGAGCTCCTAATATCATAACAACGCATTCCCAAAGCACTTGAAATTTGGAATTTCCTTAACTAATGATAAAATAAACCTTAAAATTTTCAGATCTATGTTCAGTCGCTTACCTCATCGGAGCGAACACGAACTTGGACATCACCGTGATCCACAGGTTTCCTCGAGTTCACTGACGACGAACGAGGCTTAGTCACACCCTGAAAAAGGGAGGAAAGCAAGTGAAGTTAACCCTATACCTAAGACAAGTGACCAGCAACTAACTAATTTCTCGCTAAAAATTTCACCCCTGAACAAACAAGAAGATAATGTAAGTCAAAATAAAGAAAACTGTTTTTAAATTTTTGGCTGAACGTGCCGGAGAAAAAAAGAAACATCTGTGTACCCCTGAGGATTCAAATCTTGGACTTTCCAATTTAGAGGGCCTATGGTTTATCAATCGAGCAACAGAGAACTCATTGGCGAGATTTACTAGGGTCAATTTATTAAGATCACATGCAACAAGTGTTCTGAATACTACTAGCATTGATGTCGAACAAAGTGTGCCGTGCTGAGATTTAGTTCAAGTTTATCTCTGATGTCGAATAGCATTAGTCGCAAAAGTGTAACCAAAAAAGAGTCTG